ACACACACACACACACACACACACACACACACACACACACACACACACACACACACACACACAAAAACACACTCAGGATGTACATTAAAAAAAAGCATAGACACGCACATATGCACGCACACTCCAAACACATCCCTCGTCTTTCCCTCCGTCACCCTCTCCCTGCGTCCTCCCTCACTTGATCCTTACACCTACGTGCTACAGATGGTTTCATTTTATAAGAGATAAAACCACATTTGGTGGAACTGATTAAACAGAGGGAACAACATCCCCATCTGCCATTTATTCCAATCTGAAATTACTTGGGCAGATGCTGACATCTTTGGAGATGATTGATTCACCCCGTCTGGCCGGAGTGGAGAGGAGAGCAGGAATAGATCCTCCCCAGAGCTGAAGCTTCCAGCTGCCCTGCCATGGCTCCACCACCACAGTGTCACTTCACTAGCATGGYCCCCCCCTCATCCCTCCACCTCTCTTAGATCTCGCCATCTCTTGTCTCCGGCAAGCTGCTGCAATCAGCACAGGCTCTGATTGGACTTGGGCAGGTGYGTGAAGTACACTTTAATCATGATGCTGGTACATGGCAGATTATCCCCTCTGTATGGGTGTGTGGCTGTGTGGGAGACTGGAGAGAGATTTTGTGTTTGTGTGTGGATGCATTAAAAAAGGTTTTATTAGATATCAAATACATGCTTTTTTTCATGCACAACTTGTGGCTGGTTGTGCAGATCAGCTTTGTCGACACGAGATCTTCATAACAGAAAACATCCGTTTAGCTTCCTGAGTCCAAAGATTTTTTTTTTGCGTTTCATTTTCTTTAGCTTTTTTTTGGGGTTCAACATTTTTGGGAATAAAAATCTGAGTGACATAAAACACAAACATGTTATTGCGTACCTGTGAAGGTGATGCTGTTGCATGTGTAATATTTTGCATCATTAGCAAAATATTTTATGAGTCACTGGTTGGATTTTGAWGTAACTTTCAGCAAAAATATTTAGAGGTACATCTACAACACATTATCTGTTGGAGTCACCCTTATTCAAGATGTCCGCCTCAGACAACTGATCTTAAAGGGGCAATATCAAGTAAAATCAACTTTTTTGAGTTTTATATCATGTTATAATGTTATACTKTCATAAAAAAAAGCCCAAAGCCTTGCTTTGACTCATRCATTCATGTTTGAGAAATCAAAAAAGCTAAGCATCAAGTAGAAAAACGAGATAAAAAGTTGAACAATAGTCAAAAGTTTATGCTGCTGTGCACATTATAAGGGACAAATCATGCAAAATTCACTTTTTTAGCTGTTAATGGCATTTTGTTGCAAACTTGGAGTCTCTAGGAGTGCAGAAAATTTGAACATTTACTGCTTAGATATCTTTATTATCTATTTGGGTCATGTTTTTCAACCCTACTAGTTGAACGTGAAACTTAAACTGTCTGCTGAGCTCTCAACATTAGTTCTCACTCAGTGAAGCTCTTTTTAGATTAAAAATACCTTTGAGGAAATGCATTGTCAGATGCCAAGTAAACTGCATCATGGCAGCCCCCTGACCTCCCCCCGCGAGCGTGCCCCCACCCCCCGCACTGAAATGGGCGAGACAGAAGCGGAAGGTGGTTCTTAAACAGACAGAGGCCAATTTCAAGGCGTTTAGAAGAGGAAGTGTTGAGAAGATAAGTTTATTTTCTATTTAAACATAAAAACAGCATTTTAATAACAGCTAAATGTGACATGGATACTTTAATGTGGTATGGTATTTAAAATTTATGCTTGAGAAACACATAATATTGCCCCTTTAAGAAATTCAGCCAGATTTACAGATACTGAGCTGACATTTGGTATGTTAGTCCTGTWATGAACTATTGGTCAATCGTGTTTGTTGTTAACAAAATATCTCATGAACCACTGGTCAGATTTTAATGATGTTTTCAGAAATTAATCACTGAGTAATAAATCTTTGCCCACAAAAATGGTTTCAACTTTCAACTGGTAATATATTTCAGATACTGAGCTCAAATTGTGTGATAGTAGCTGAAATTAATTTACAGCACATGCTCCAAGCACTTCCAGATCACACTAGATGTTGCAATATCACATGAGATTATGCATCGTTTCATTTTGATGGTTTAAATTGCTATAACTCAACATTAGATTAGCTTAATCTAAAACCTGACATGAAACTGGAACTATACATTCCTTCAGATAATACATGATCTTTAATTTAACAACAATTAATCACTCATAATTTAATAAAATAACAATTATTGTAAACAATAAATAAATCAAAATTAAAAGGGGGGTGTCTGAATTAGGACAAGTCTACGTTGAACAGAAGAAAACAGTTTAGTGCTGGGAAGCCATGTGTTCCTTTGTGAGGATGCTGGGTGCTAGGAGTTAAACAAAGCTGTGGGTGAGTGACTGTGCAGGTGTAAATAAATAATAATAAAAATTAAAGAAAAGGAAAAATTTACTTTAACTCTCACATTTGTAGGAGTTTCCCTTTTAGATTGCCAGACATGGGGACTAAAATCTTTAAACAAACCACTGAGGTGCCAAGGATTGCAGTTGTCGACATGCTACCAACTGGGCACCAAATAACACATAACAGTAAAAGCACTGGTAAAAAAAATAAACAGCTGATTTTCTTTAATACTAAACTATTATTCTTTTCTTTTATTTGACCTTTATTTYACCTGGCAAATCCCATTTAGATCACAGATCTCTTTTGCAAGCGAGGCCTGGTCATGAAGGACACGTTTATGGTTTGTGGGGGAAACTGGAGTACCTGGAGGAAACCCACATAAGCATGACGAAAACATGCYAACTCTGCKTGTCCGAACTGGGGATCAAACCCAGGACCTTCTTGCTGTGAGCTGAGATGCCGTGCTTGAATATTAATAAACAACTTTATAGATCATCGTGACTCAATAATTTTGAGAACATACAAAAACATTTTCAGAATTGACAAAAGGTCTGGAGCTAACACAGTACATGATGAAATTATTTTGCAACCTTTTGCTTGCTTTATAAAAACGAGATGCTTTTCTATAACCCGGCTGAAGGGAGCTGTAAGGTGTTACTCCATGAAACTTTCATGCAAGACAACAAATGTACTGATGTTATGTATGGTTTGTTCAGATTGATCTTGCAGAGCAGCTGGATGTTTTTAAGAATCTCAAGATCCTGATAAAAGGAGAAAGAGCATTTTAAAAACTGTCGACAAAATACTGAGATTTCAACAATGATGTGAGTCCTAACTCAATCGTACTTTTTTTTATTACTAAAATACTTTAAAAGTAAAGCACTGAAGGCATGTCTTGTTAGACAAAGTTGGCAGTTTTGGTGTGAGCACTCTCACTAAGGCATCAACAGAATATCAAATGGGTTCTTGTTTGTTAGATATTCCACTCAACGTTCATCTAATCAACATTTATAGTGTCCTGCTCGTGGAATTACTCTGCCCTCCACTAAATCGGCTCGGCATTATCAGTTGTAAACACTCAGGCATTTAAAGATGGAAAACTCTCACTGTAAAAGTGCCATCAAAGCCGGCGGTGTGTGAGTTCGAGTGTGCGAATAAATGCGCATAGTCTCGTAAAAACTGCTGAGCTGGGCACTTCAGTGCAATCAGGCACCAGTCTCAGCTCATATACTTGTTTGATGACAACCAAAGATGGAGGGAAAGTGATGGAGCTCTCCAAGGGACCGCAGCAATAATTTAGTTTGGGGAGTGGGTGTGAATCATGGTGAAGGCACAGGAGTGCTGGAGGTGGTGGATGAGTCATTAGGGTGGGGAGGGGGGAGGGGAGGTTGAGTCTCGGGGGATTTTAATCTATCAGCCGGAGCTGATGTGGCCTTGAGAGCAGTTTTGACCTGCTGTTCTTCAGTCCGAACCTGTCCATCTCGCGTTTTTGTTTAGTTTTTATTGCTCAACTGTGATCCATGTTCCTGCCGCTCTTTCTTCCTCCTCTGCCTCCATTTTCAGGCARGTCATTCCTCATCAGGACCCTCATCTTCTCCTTGTCGTTCAYATGCTTCCTGAAGTATGGCCAGCCCTGAGAACAGCCAGTGAATATCCAATTTGAATGCATACTTCTTTCGCTCTCTCGCTCGCCTTCCATTTCTTGCCCGAGGCGTCATCTTCCACCTCTGTTGCCTCCGTGCTCCTCGTGCTCCCCCTAACCTCCATGACAAAGTCTGATGGGATTCAGAGAACAATTACTCACGCCTGGAAAAAAGAGAGCCAAAAAAAAAAAAAAAAGGGGGGGGGGGTGCAAATTGTTTAAGTTCATCATCATTTTTGCACAATCGAARTACAGCATGCATGCACTCTACAGCATGGCCTCTGCCTCCTTCTCCTATAGTGCAATAATCCATTAGCAGCAACATCCACACCTTTTCAAGAGTTTCATCTCCCTACGGCTTTGACTTTGGACAAGCAGAGGTTAGAAGAAAACAACCTGAAAACAGCCTTATCTCCCAACACACGAATGTTTGTTAAGGCTCCCTATTAAGTCTTCCCCCTGAATTTGCATATTAATTGCATTTTGGCTCTGCACCCCCCACTTCCTTTAAGGCTGCTGTTTATAGGTGCTTTTTTTTTTCGAAGACACAAACGTCTGCGGGTTGCTCACCTGCAACGGAGGACGAGAATTATATTCTGCAGGAAATTGCTTTAACTTGAATGTAATCAAATTTACACCCTCACACACCTTGATCGGAGGTCCTGAAGGGCCCGCTTTCATGTGTACAGCGCACAAAAATACACAAATCGCACATTAAACGCAGAGAGGAAGTGTTCTGAAACAAATTTAAAAAACTAAATACGGAAAATCAAAGGATATTTTCAAGCTCAGTTTTCCCCCAGCAACCATTCTCTCCCGCATGCATTTCTCAAACTTTATTTTTTTTTTACTTTATTTTATTTTTAAGATTGGGACATGTGCTTACTGCTCAGACGTTGGGGTGTAGTTTGGCAGCTTTCTCAACAAATGTTTGAAAAGATGTGAAAGTTTTAATGACTGCATTGAGCGGGGGATAAAGGAACAGCTGGAGATTCTGAAATGTAGTGGCTATTTTTATCCAGCAGAGGTAAACTCAAGCTGTCTCATTTGAAAACCATCACTGCAGTTTCATCCATACTTAAGAAGAACAGGTGACTGAGCATCCGCGCGTTCCTGTTTCCAAAACAATGTGACCATATGGGTTTTATTTTTGTGGGATGCACGGAACAACTCTTTATATATATGTGTGATATCACGTTATTCAGAGTGGGGCTGTTATTATTTTCAAGATAATAGTTTCATTTCAGAGATAATGACTACCAGGACTTTTTTTTCTGCCTTCCACAAGCCTGGAGGCAARGATGCGTGGCTTTTAATGGAAAATACAAAACAGTGAAGTAGTCATTATTTTGATTACCTCCATCACCAGAAACAACGTTTGTGACAATCTGTATTTTGTACCTAATTATTACATTTGTGCCATACAGTTAGATTCCACCACAGGAAATGGAMTTTTATTTCCCCACTCTGGAATCTAATGGTC